TTTGTATCAGGTATCTCCTTAGTCTGGGTCATTCCAATGAGAACCAGCCTAAACAATCCAGGCGGTCAACCTAAGAATTTTCACGTTGACCTTCAATCATTCTGGTGGCCAGCCTCTGTATCTTCTCTAACCAAGCGACATCCGTTCGAAAATAAGGTCTCCAAGCCTGAACCCAATACGCTAGGTGAGGCCGAATCACCGCTCTGTACAGTGGGGGAAGACCTCCGGGTTAGTATTACACAATGGTCTCCTGAAGCGGAAACGTTCCTGCCACGCCCAGTTAGCAGCATATTTGCACTACACTGAAGGTCGGAAGCCATCTACCACAACGATGTCCAAGTCTCTCGCTTTATCTACACACTAAAATGTCAGAGACCCAGTAGATGTTTGCACCGTAGTCCAACCGTTACTGGATGATAATAGTCGACATTTTTTCGCGTCCAACGGCAGGTACCATAATTTAGACCGCTTTGCTACTGTAAACTCTAAAGGAAGCCTTGATGCATCCCAAACCTGGATTGCTTACATGAGGACACGGTAACTCCATTCCATAATTATTCTACTCATTTTACATTGCTCTGCTCTGTATCCCACAAACGGTTACCATGTCGTATATTTATTCCTTCTACTCTCGATCACTGACATATCCTTGAGGTTTCAAGGTCGTTCATCTTATTATGTTACTGCGACGCTGCCCAAATATTCGCACGCCGCCGCACGCTACACAATTTCTGCCCTCTTGCACTATGATTGCAAAACCTATTAGAAAGTCATGTACTATATTTAATATGCTTTGCAGAGTCACGGTTTAGGATAATTTGTTTTATTCTTCTGCCGAGACCGTGCGTTAAGTCTAGGTTTATTTGTTCATAGATTCTAGTTTAGTTTTCGTATGACGTACTTAGTTTAGGCTTCCTATCGTTGGTACAGCCACAGTGCCCAGATTTTTAGACAATATATCCCCATCTCCTATACCGATAAGCTTTGCATCATCCACAACATCAATCTGGAATGATACCAAGACAATGGAGGATCCCATGGCACTACAGAGTCACGTTGACAGGGTCTGTACGTGGTCACCCGAAAGCCCACACCAGTTCCAAGTGACAGAAAGCAAAATTTGAATACATGCTATCAGCTTATCCATGGATGCCAATTTGGGACCCAGCGGTTGCAACGTGCTTCCAAGGAAAGCGATCACAGGGTGATTGTACAGGATGAAATTGCCTGCTCGGACAGGCAACATCCAATTTGCATTGTGAGAGGGTTGTTTCACCTCCCCTACTAGCGCAGACTGTAGGATCTAAGGCTCTACTGTGGTGATTATCGACATCAGCGAGGAGACGGATATTCACCTTTCCTCTACCTTGACCGTCGCATTATTATTCACACATTTATGTGCTCCTGAAGTAGGCTCATTGACAACGGTTTCCGCTGTGGCTCTTGGTGAATTGGATTGGTTTCCAATAGGATTTACTTTGGATTCGGATGTTATGAATCCGAATATCCTCGGATAATCGCTCGGATCACTCGTTTCACTGAAGCGCCAAACGCACAGAGTAAAAACCTGACTTCCGAGTGAAGTGTGTAATCCAGCCAACAAAACAACGTCTGACGGCCGCTCAAGTGGAGGAGGAATTGATCAGCAATATTCAAAGTATAGCAAACCCGAAAAGCGATTGAGAGACTAGGTGCCAAATCATGAACTGACAAAAATGTGGCGCTAGATTAAGAGAAGAAACGGCAACCATGAAAAGAAATAAGCACAGGTTTGCTTCTGAAGATAATCTCGAAAACACTTTGACTCTGGGAAGTTGATTTCCCAACAATTTCCTTTTCATGTCTGTTTACCTGTAGCTTCGCTTCCTGGGGTTCGACTACAGGGGATTTACTGGGCGTTCGCCCCGATAGGTTCGCCGAAGTGGATGAAGTCCGGCATCTACCGCATCTTCCTGCAGTGTGGAATTTATGGCACTCAATGACGGATTAGCAAGTGTCCACTAGTATATCTAGCGGGAGCGGTCGATGACTCATGCCTTTCTTTCATTGAGCTCACGTACATTGGAGAGAACTGGTTACCGTGCCTACTCCACGTTTCGCCATTTCCAAGTACACCATAACCTCCTCATCCGCAGTTAGATAACAACAGCTTCGATCCATTCATTATGTCGGCTTCTGTAGTCCCGAGCGTATACTGGTACTCTAACATTGAGTGCTTGATAAATTCGTGCTAAGGAAGGCAGGTAGGTGAATCGATTTTACGGGTAAGTTTACGACTCATTAGAGCTACGCTTTGGGAGCAACCCTCGGACTTCACCATATTGGGAGTATTTCGAGACACCAACAAAACTTTTCAGAATTTCATCAGTAGTCCCCACCGCACGCGATTTCAGAAGCGCTCGCTTAACTGTATCGACAAAGCGTTCGGCTTTACCACTCGACTGAGATTGGCACGGCGGAGCTCTCATGTGCTTGATGTTATAACGGGAACAAAGTTGGTGAGTTGGTGTTGTTGGACTTGAACTCAATCAACAAGTGCGTCGACCTCGATTCAATATACCCAAGCACTTCGACAGAAAGAAATAAAGAAGCTTTTGTCACGCGGTTTGAGGCAGAACAAGTCGGGTACCGACTTCAGTCGTGGGGAAAGTGGGTGGAGGTCACGGGATTCAAATCGAGACTACCACTTTCAAAAGTCACCTGCAGGTCGACCATGGATGGACGATTCATTCAGTAAGATTGCACGCCGCATCCCACGGGGTTGGGGATGCCCCTTCGCATAGTGGTGCAACGTTTGCAACTAAACCGCTAAGCTCGGATAACAAATGAACAACTGACAACAAAGGGATCGCTAAACCGTGCACCTTCGGCCATTCCCAAATTTGTGGGATATGAGTACCCAGGCTTTAGCGTTCTATTCAGATCTTCCGAGATGAAACCCTGAGGCTGCAATATCTGCAGTTCACAACACCAGTGTTCTTAACCCAAGCAGACTGTACCTAACTGGGGATCTGGCGTGAAATTTTGGCTACCAGACCTGTTTACATCCTACAGAGGCAATCCGACCTGTTAAGGTTGACCGCTCTGAACTCATTATCACACTTCAGTACAACTATTTCTTTGATGTTTCCAAACCCACGGATAGCTTTATACGAAATTACAGTAAAACATTTCGGGAGTTTTATTGGCGAGTTGCAAAAAGCATGTCAACCTGAGTACGCGGACAAGTGGAATTCTTAGATGTTGAGCCATATTAATCGCAAAGTAGGGATGTCTCATGGAGCCAAAGACATTTACTGAACTCTGATCACCAAGCCCACTTCGCCGCATCAACGTTATCGATCGAGAGCGGCAGGTTAATATTGACGTTGGGCCTACGACAGCAGCGCAAGGTGCACCAATCAGTTGGCACTTAGCCACCACTCGATCTCACGTGACCTAGTCCCTCGAATCATTGTGTGGGCCATTAAAACAGCCGTTGCCATTTTATTGAACTTTATTTTTTCTTTATATACTGCGAATATATCCGATTTGAAGGAATATTTGGACTTTTGTCCGAAGTGCTTCCAATTTCGCCAAGACCGTTTTACTCTCCACACTTTGAATATTGAGTCGAGTTACCGAGCAATATTCGCACTTTGCTGCTTTCGACCAAGAACTTTTAGTCCAGGTAAAAGCAGTTCTGAAGAAATGTCTTCGTAAACTCTACTCTCGCTGAGGAAAATAGCCCAAGTATCCTGTTTGTCAATTTGCGCTTGGTGCACAAGCATGCGGACCCGTTTACACAGTGACATCGTTGCATTACTCTTTTCCGTTTATCCACTTAAATAATTTTGCAACTTTGATGATGGAATTGTACTTCATTCACCTTAAATACTACAAAAAGTTGAAAGTGCACCCAATCGACTACATAAAGCTCACCATTACTTGACTCGTGCCTACTGCTAGACTCGTGGAGGTAGTTTATGAGCTTGCACAAACAGCGTCATATGGTATTCTTATTTGGAACCACAAGTGGATTTCCTTGTTTCAGTGGAATACAAGCAGAAAAAGTATATCCGAGATGTACACCATGCTTTAAGAATGCGGAAGAATGCAGATGAGCAACAGCGCTACAAACATCCGATAAGCTGTTAAGTTACGCACGTCAACATCAGTCGCTGCAGCTGTGTCCCGACGAAGTTACCCGAGGGATGACGCAGTTACAGCGTTTTCTCGTTCGCAACCACGACCGGAGCTGGGGAGTGAAATACATCGCGTATGCGTTCATCACTAGTGCCTCGATCACTAGACCATTGAGTTCCGCCAGCAACACTTGATGAAGTATGTTGAGTACAGTACTAAGTCCGCAATTTTGCCAGTCAAAGGCTTCGTTTATAATAACACCGTCAGATAGTTAAACCAGTTTGTATTGGTCAATGTTTCAGTGTCCATACACACAGCCTTGATCGCTTTGGGACCAAACGCCTAGCTTGATCACCCAGATGGCCTAGGCCATTAAGCTAGTACTCTTATTTATTGTGTAAGCTAATGTCATTCATTCGTGGCGTATTAGCCTGCTGAGGAACTACTAAAAAGCTTGTTCGCTAAATGTTGTCTCTGGTAAGATTCCTGTATTGACGCAGGAGATTTTCGAACACACGGACACGGACTGGATTAGAGGAATAAGTCCATAATGTATGTGGGGTCACTTAGTAGTAGAATGAGTTCATACATATTTCATTTACGTGGCCCATGATGAAAAATTTAATAGCGCCCCTAATTGCTTTTTCTTTACTAATCCCGCGCCTACTAATCATGCTGGTGCCACTGGCCAAACTTCCTGACAGTTCTACAAACTAGCAATTTAACTGTGATTTATGATAGTAACATTTGGGCTCAAAAGCCACACTAAGAGGTGACTGCCGTGGTTCGCAGATTGGATGAAGGTGCGTTGCTACATTGTTGGCTCGATAACATTTTGAATAACCTATTTAGAATGAGTCGATGAGCACCTGGTGTGAACCTGTCGGTAGTGAAGGTAAATCACAATCGGTTTGTTGATGGCTTGCGATCCTAATAAAGTAACCGCCGTAAATTACGTAGAGAAAAGAAAGACGAAATGAGGCAGTGGTGTTTTCAGTAGCAATGTACAAAATACATGTTCACTCAAAACAGTTCGTCAAGTTTTTTGTATGCTGTCAATATTATTCAATGGAAAACCGAACGGTACAGAAAACGGAAACGGAACTGACTAATCTCAGGCCCCTAGAGTACAGCGCATGATTATACACAGTAGGGAGTAAATCATGGAACTATGGAGCGAATACATTGCATCAAGCTAGGACAGTACTAATCAAAACGGACATTGCCAAACTATAATGGTAACTATGCCGGATTATCTTGAAATTGTATGTTTCCCAGAGGCAGATAGTTTCCGGATAAACATGCATGACGTACAACCCCCGTTGGACAAGACAGGAATGGCTCAACTTCCACATTCGTATATCTGGTCCATCCATTCGGGGCTCCGTAATCTCCCCAGTGTTGTATATGTCCTAAAATATTGTCACCGTAACCATGCCTGCTTGCTCGTCCGGGATTTGGCAAACCGGTCAACCAGTGCCCATTCAAAGACACTTTGGTCACATTATGCATATCTTTTGGTTGATAAGAATACATTACTGGAACTCCGTATAGTTCAACAAACCAATTATGAGCTCGTATACTGTGATACAGGCAATACGCCGCACCCGTTTTGTTGCAACCGGCTATATCAGTGCCGTGTTTTGTCGTATTGCGTTGCTTGGGAAACTGCACGTCATACATACTGGTGATGTGATTTGCAATTAGACCGGAGACTGTAGCATGCTTGTAAACGTCCCAACATACGTCTGCATCCTTTTCCCAAGGCAAAATTCCGTTGTTCATCTTCACCGCCCCCATGAGAGTGCCTGACACGATGTAGTTTGAAACGTTGAAGCGGGTGGCTGCGTCTATGAACATCATGATATAATTGAAGAGCTCTTCGAGGCAACATCTTGGGATGATTAGCCCGGGCTGTTTGAAAGAGATGCAGTCAATTTCCACATCGTCGCATGTCCACCGGTGGTCTACGCCACCTGACAAAATGATTCTATCGATGCTCCATTGCTTGGCCAACGGAAGCCATGCCGTTTTTGCGATTTCTGACACACCATATCCCCGAGGTGTATGATGCCCGGCTACGTGAAACATGACATCAATGCAAGCCACAGTTTGTAACTCTAACCGACCGGTTCGAAAAATGCCAGAAAGCATCAGTTCAACAAATGAAACAACCCCTTTCAGTTTGGAGTTTTTCATGGCCCTGTTGAAGACGTCGCGCCGGATCAAAAATGGAGAGGCTACGTAATCGCAGTAGGCGCATGACTTGGCGGATATGTCGTGCCCCGGGCGAAGAATTAGACTGAAGTTGCGGATGGCCGACTGTAGGGGAAAAACGGAATGTGAAAGATACAAACGAGTGTAATTCTTTTACAAAGACTTCAGGATACCATTTGGCAAAGCTGCTCGCATTATATATTTGATCAATTTCAAGCTGATTGTGCTTAATCAGCTAATTGCCTAGGATCTTCTGAATTTATTTTTACGACCAGTGATCACATGAACTACGTATGGTGTGAAGGCCCGCACGAATTCTTCAGAAACACGCAAACATAGTGGATCGACAATGTTTCGCAAAGGCAACAGCAATTGTATTCATACAAAACCACATTCTACCTTGAGTTCGTGTCCAACATTAGCGTGCGTGGAGCCGTCGAAGAGAGCAGAGGACTCAGTGTATTTCACCACCTAAATTCTACCATAATGGACAGTCAACAGACGAAAGTGCAACTATTGTGAAAGTGAAGAAATAAAGTTATCTGTCGGAATAGTTGTCATGCTAGATAAGCGCTATAGTAAGGTAAAGAACAAAGGGTCAGTTCACTGTCACAGACCAATGCCGTTGACTTTGAAAATAATACATTTTAGAACGTCTGTAATCACGGCTGGTGCACTGTGCTCCGACGGTATGACGTTTGGCGGATTTGTCACACCTACACCCACCAGAGAGTAAACATTGTCATTTAGGCAGAGTTATTGTATTGTCAAACATGAATCTGTGTGTAGGCAGAAAGACAACAGAGTAGCACACAAACATTTACTTTATTTACGAATTGAGAATGGGCCTAAGTGGAACTGTTGACGAGCTATAACACTTAGTTATCAATATGCGATCAAATGAGAAATGCCGTTTCCGGCCTCCACAACGTACGAAATACGTTGTGTTAAGGAGGCGGAACGCCACAGGAAAATCTGGGTGAATGGAACTTGACAGTGTTAGGTCAAGAAAGCGACTCGTCTGAGCAACCGTAGATTGACTAGCATCCAGTGCGGGAATGAGTGTTCTACAGATTTGGGGGAACTAGCAATGCCGAGACCGCAGTGCTAGTGCCTCGTTTAGACGTCATCTAACTTACAAGGCAGTAGTGTACGGCTAAGTTTGGGTCCAGTCTATCACGTTATAGTTTATTGCGCGTACTAATCGCAGTTTTTCTAGTGCGGCCAGCATGCTCTACTCCGTCGATAGTGGAACCGAGGATTGCGCACTACTGAAGGTAGGGAGAAGAGATTGCCTATTATTCTACCGGACAAATGTGTGGATGTTTACTTTGAAGTTGCTTCTAATAATCCGGAAGCGAAATTGTTTATCCACATGGCTGAAGAAATAGGAGTGCTAGTAATCCGTGTATCTCCCTACAAACGTATGAACTTTTCTCTCGTATCTGTTGTTCCCTATAAGTGTCAGTCCATAAGATACTCAGAAATTTACACTTCTTTTATAAAAATAGATGTTGTGCCAGTTTTACGCACAGCAACTTTGAGCACTTAGTTACTTAGGGATAGTAATAGTAGGTATACACCGGAAGTTTAGAATACAACAAACCACAGGTGGATAACTCTTATACAACTCTGTGGTAATGCGTTTCGGTAGCAGTGAAAGAAGCCATATCAGCCTCGCCTATCATGCTCTAATGCTACAGAGAGCCGTCTCCTGGCTGGCTGTATGAAGCGGAGTGATTTAAATGCTTCAGGCTATCAAAATTGAAGCAGAGTAATGCCAACCATTTAAATGACATCTGGTGGATTATAGGGAATACATTCAATGAATACATTCAAGGATATTTTTGTTTATTTGCAAAAGGCTGGTTGTCAGGTCAACCAACAAAAACACACATGTCTCATCCAAGTTAATGGTTTGTACGCGCATTGGGACCCCATTACATAATGGTCGCGAAAGGAACCATAGCTGGCTGCGTTCATAGTTTAACCTAAAGTTTTCCAGTCAACACTTTCAAAAGATATGCCTGCGAACGGTCGATGGTATCGGCAGTGTAACGTGTGCCGCATACACGTAGGTAATTCACGACCCCACTGCGGAAAATTATGATGCCACGTTCCACAGCCTCTTGCGCGGCTGCACCAAAAGGACCATAACAATTAGGTTTTCACGCGTATCCACATGCGGATCGCTGTTTGTCTATCAGCTAGTTTCCGCTGCAACAAACAGGATCAAGGAACTCTTCAGAAATCGCTTCCCGAAGCTTGCATTTGGTTGTTGGTCCATTTAAAGTTGAAAATGAGGCCTAGATCAAACAGCTGATTGGAGTCAGCCTATTAAGCGCAAACGCAAAAGCTCGTGGAGTTAGACAGTCTCTTAGGAGAATGACACCGCTAGCTATGAGTTTGCATTGCCGTCCTGCTTATGCGTCTGTTCCAAATTTGCTCTCGTAACATTAGGGTCTTCAGTTAGATTATTAACCATTGGGAAACGGTTGGCGGCGTTGTTTTAGTCGTTCGAATGTGTTTCCCGAAGCTCATCGACTACAGCATCTTCTCAGAAACGGCACGGCTTTTACCCAAATCAGCGCTTGGTTAAGCTCATGGGCATGGTGCCGTTCTGAGGGATGACTTTGAAAGCATTATCAAAGCAGGCAGACTTCGGGAACGTGGAAATGCAACCGAACAGCGAATGTTACATCGCAATCCAGTGATTCGGATTACCAACCAGGTAGACATACCTAGTAAAACACATACATTAACTGTTATTATGGGTAAGTAGTGGGTGCCGCGTACCAATTTGGACCACAGTGATATATATATATATATATATATATATATATATATATATATATTCACGGTCTTTTAACAGACTTTGTGATTTCAGGACCATGGCAAAAAAAGATGGCGAAGATAGAAACACGAAATGCGAGAACAAATGGGAAAGGATTTTTTGGTTTCACACACGCAATTTTGATATTTCTGTTTTTGCTTTTTGTGAGATTTTGTGTACATCGAAGGGATGGTAAAATGGCAGAACAACATTGACGCCACTGATGTCTGTTGCGGGCCATTACGTCCAATGTTTCCTACCACTGCGATTCAGCATCTCGTGTTCCCCAACCTGGAAGACGTACTAGTTCGACTGCCGCCAAACTTGAGTTTGCCTTCTTCATGCTTCTTCTCCACGTCATTGGCTGTCCACCGCAGCACTTTTTCCAATCGCTCCCTGGGAGTGCAAATAACGCTCGACGTGGAAAGCGATGGGCTGGCATGCGCAAAACGTGCCCGGGCCAACTCGTGCGATGTCGGAGATGAACGTTCTGAAGACCGGCACAACTCGCTCCAAGCACTCGGTCTCGCACTTCTGCCTTGCCTAAGTGGTGTTGCCACCACACCCGAGCAATCCTTCGTAGACAACGATGGTCGAAAACCGAGAGTCGCTTCGGAAGCATTGTACACCCTGCCTTTGAGCTTGAGACTGATATCACGAAGACGCCATAGACGTCTCAGCTTGATGAATGCAAGGCGGGCCTTTGCAATCCGTTGTGAGACTTCCTCTCCAACACCACCATCAACCGTGATTAAACTCACTAGGTTAGTAAAGCAATGGACTTGCTCCAGAACATGTCCAGCAATGGTGAGCGCGAGTTCAGGCATCTTCCAGTCCTGAAGCGGCGTTTTACATTTTCGCGGAGTGAAGCATAAGCCATACTTAGACGCCTCCATCGCCAAGCGTCCAAAACGTTCTGGATGGTCTGTGGGTCGTCTCCCAGCAGGGCGATACCATCGGCGTAGTCCAGGTCAGTGACTCTATCTCTAGGGAGGAGCTCAACACTGACGTTCCAAACACCTTCCAGTGCTCTTTGGAGAACATCTTCGATGGCGAAATTGGAGTGGTAAGGTGAAATAAAGCAACCTTGGTGGACACCGCTGGTTACATCAAAAATGAAGCGTGCCATAAGCTCTGACTTTGCCAGACGTGTGACTGTAAAGTTCTTTCAAGATGATTACAACCTTGTCAAGCACACGTTTCTTCAGTCAACTGTTATACAAGGCAGATCTATCTACTGAATCAAAGGCCGCTCGGATGTTCAAAAACACTACGATTTTTGGCCGCCGGTGGGTGTGAAGAATTTCGAGAACTTGGCGAAGCGTAAAGATTTGGTCGATGCAGCCGGGGCCTGGACGAAATCCGGCTTATTCTTCTCTGGAAAACGTCTCTCTAATCGTTGGAAGCCTGCTAAGTAGGACAGACACGAAGCTTTTGGATGCGACGGAGATTAACGAGATTCCGCGGTAGTTGCAGCAATCAGCGAGGGAGCTTTTCTTGTAAATCGACACAATGACCGATTCTCCCCATGTATTCGGAATCTTCTCCTCAGTCCAAACTTTTGTGAAAGCGATACGATTTCGCTGACAGGTACACTCCCGCCACCTTCGAATAGAGCCGGTGGTAGGTTGTTGGGACCCAGAGTGTTGCGGGCCTTTCAAATATCGGATTTCATCTCTGATCTACGCTTCGTTTGGGGGCTGTACAGCTAGGCCATGCATCATATATTGGGTTGGAGATTCCACAGTAGACTGCGTTGGGTGGTTGAATTTAAGAGCGAAATACTGAGCCCAGCAACCTAATCGCCTGTGAAGGTTGTTGATTGTTGTGCCGTCTGATTCACAACTCGTCTAGCTGATAGTGTGGAAATTACAACCGGTGGCCCGGATGATGAAAAATAGACGGCGGAAATTGCCAGCAGATGCAGCGTCTTCCATCTCATCAGCTTGGTTTGACCACCATGATTCGCGATCAGAGCGAAGGGTTGCTTTCAGCTGTTGCATAATAGACCGGCGGTGTTCGTTGTACTCTGCTTCCGTCGGCGATCCAGCAATTCCGAGGATTTTCCCGAGATCCAGCTTTTGGGAATGGAGCGAGCGAGTCTACAGCTGCACAAACCGGCCGACAGCAAGGCTTGTTGCAGACTTGACCAGTGTTGATCAACATCCAGAATGTGACAGAAAGAGATATTTTCATGAAGCCTTTGTTGATACTCTTTCTTCACCATTGGGTACTCCAACTTCTAGGTGTTCAGTCCGGTGCGTTTCGACCT